CCTCATAAAAATGAAAAATTAAAAACCTAAAAAACATAGATTTTAAAAAAATTTAACAACTTTAAATTTTTTAAGGCCGGGTTGGTCTATACCATCTGATAGACCGATCCAGATCTCTAATACATTGATCTAGATGGGTTTCCTGGGTGACCAATTCACTTGGCTGATTCGGTTTTCAAACAGTGCATCACAAAATGACACTCCTGGAGCTCCATGTCTACAACAGCGTAATGATTCAGCTCCAACATAAAGAAACAATGAACAGATTGTACATGGATAATAATTAAGGTGCGTTGTGTATAGAGCCGAGGGTGTACCTCCAAAAAAAAGTGTCGGGAAATATAGTTTCAATACTATAAATGTTTGTGATAGCTTTAAAATAAAATTTTGTCCTTAATTATTAAATTTAAATTAATAATTAAAGCTTAAAAAATAGTGTAGATCGAGTAAATATGTAAAAACTTGAAAATCTTAAAAATTGACGGTACAAAAATGTGCTACAAGGCACACTATTTCCAAATTTTGAAATCCGTTTTTTCTCTTGTTCGTGCATCTTGATGTCGAGATAACCAATTTGGGGATATTTGGCTATCAAAATAACTTCTTCTAGTAAAATTTTTTAGGTGGGCTCTAATTTGATTGTTTAGAGCCTCGGCCCTATAAAAACTTTTTCCTAATAATTAAAAACTTTTTTTAATATGTGTGTATAAAGAGATCATTTATCTCTTGTACATTAAGGTCAAATAAGTGCATAGGTCGGAAGACAGTTTTTTTGGGAGAATATGTTCGAAGTCTTTTTGGCAAAATTCTATTTCAAACCATGAAGGTCTGGAATCACAATTAAAAAAAGAACTATTTCAGTCCAAATCCACACTAAAAAATTATTTAGAACTTCGATCGTAAGTCGTTGTCACTTAGGACTATGGTCCAAGTGGGGCATTTGAAGAAATTTTTTAAGAAGATACATAAAGAATTATAAAAAAAAAATTAGAGGTATTTTAATAAGACAAAAGTTTATATAAAGTTGCAGCCTTAAATGTAGAATTCATTTGTACCTTAAAAATCCATCCTAAAAGGTTTTGATGTTAGAAAACTATCTAAATGATTACTTGACATCAAGATATAGGGAAACAAAAAAAATTTGAGTTCCAAAAATAATGCATCTTACAACAAATTATCAGGATTATCCATGTTCAAGATTTAAAGATCTACTTGATTTGAACTATTTTTTAAAATTAAAATTTTATGATCTGAAACAAAAATAGATTCTCAGACCATCTTAAGAATTTTTGACATCAAAATTACATCTTATGATATAGTTTGGAGATTGGATAAAGTCGCAACCTTATGGAAACCAGACCCTTTTAATAATATTGTTGTTTTAGTGGGACAAAAGCATAAATTTTTATAGTAACAATGCATAAGTGACTCATAAGTCGTTGGCTCAAAAATTGGCTATTTGGACCAGATTGAGCAAGTGACAGTCTACTATCTATCTACTCCCTTAGGTAAAACCCCACTTTGAATTAATTTTACAGCCCCAAATTTTGTAATTGCACCTTTATGAACTTGAAAGAAAATAATGTCTCGAGATTGAATAAAAACCATCCAATTTTTAAATGATGCGAACTAACTGTTAGAAACTCAAATTTCAATTTTTTTTGAAAATAATCATCTAGTAATTCTCAGATGGTTTCCAAAATTTCAGATTAAAAAAACCTCCCAAATAGATATTTTAACTTAAGGAGGAGAAATAAACTATACTCTCGAAGGAGCATAATATATGTGCTCTTTAGTTATTGTTAGAAATCTTTTGCTAAATTTAGTTAGGTCTAAGTCGAAAGATTATGCTAGTGTTACACTTTGTGCTGATCGTTCAGTGGTGAAAGTAAGTGCAATTTTGGCATCCAGAAAGCCAAGTGTACAAGACGAAAAGAGCTGAGGATTGTCGGTAAACTTCGTTTTCGTATCATTTCGGAAAATCTCGGAGCCAGCGCCCAAAATTTCGCTTCCCTTGTTTAACCCATGGTCAGGAGAGTCCGGTTAAGTGTACGGTTGACTGACAAGACCGCCTACCGACACACAACCACCCATGCCCGACCGCTGACGGTTTCTTCGAAACTCACCGAAATTTCGCCCTTTGTATATGCTATATAGAGAGTGGTTGATTTTACATGTATATTTTTAGTTAAGGGTGCGGTTTGTAAAGAAACTAGGCTCTAAACAATCAAATTAGAGCCTGGTTGAGAAATATGGTTTTAATATCATAAATCTTTTTGATAGCTTTAAAATATGTTTTTATTGTTATTTATAAAGTTTAAAGCTTTAAAAATAATGTAGATCAAGAGATCTATGAAAACTTGAAAATCTTGAAATTTGACGGTTTAAAAGTGTGTTCCAAAATACACTATTTCCAAAACTTGAAATCCATTTTTTATATGATGTCCATGCATCTTGATATCGAGATGATGAATTTGAGGATATTTGGGCATCAAAACAATATCTTCAAATTTTTGAGGTAGGCTCGAATTTGATTGTTTAGAGCCTCGGCTCTATATAAACTTTTCCCTTTTGTTAACCCAACCAATGAAGCATTTCAAAATTCACACCCTATTAACAGGAGATCGTAATAATAGCTATTGGATGTCAAATTGAATGGTTTAAGGAGATCGTAATAATAGCTATTGGATGTCAAATTGAATGGTTTAAGGTCTGATAGAAAGTTTGAGAATTTTTTTTAAGTCTAGTCAATAATACATTCACAACCATTGGATTTGAAATCTGTCAGACAAGAATGATTATGATCTCCTTGTAATAAAAGCAAAACTATTTTTTTATATACTTTTCTATTTTTTAATCATTGTAGGTCATTCATCTAGAAATTTCATAATTAAAATAAGGGTGCAGGTTGCATACGGATGCATCCGTAGGTGTAGAGGTAAGGTGCACCTTCAAATTTTATCATGGTATATAATTTTGATGTAAAATGTTCTTAGGATTATCTCACAATCTATTTTTATATCTAATTATAAAATTTTAAATTTAAAAAATGGTTAAAATCAAGTAGATCTATAAACATATAAAAATCTCGAAAATGGACGGTGTAGATAATATGCTGTAAAATGCACTATTTCTGAGACTTAAAATCTTTTTATTTTTCATGGTCATACATCTCGATGTCGAGATGATCAATCAAAAGGTTTTTCTACATTAAAACCACCTTTTCCAATGGATTTTTGGGAGCATCCGTAGTTCTACATTTTAAAGTTGCATCCTTATACAAACTTTTTCATTGAGATAAAGGGTGAGGTTTGCATAGGGCATCTTCCTAATAATGTGGAAAGTAAGGTGCCCTTTTACAATTTGCACGGAGCCATAGTTTTGGCTTTTGAAATCTTATACCTAAATAAAAAAATTTAAATTTGAAAAAAACATACAATCAAGAAAATCTAGAAGCAATTAAAAATCTTGAAATTAGACCACTCAGATAACTTACTAAAAAATACACTAATTTTAAGACTTAAATTTTTTTTTTATTCATACCCATACATCTTCGAATAAAACGTCGTTACTAAACATAAGTAGCATTTTTATTTATTTTAAATAACGGACATGGGTTCAAGGCCATTGTATTCGATTATAATTTTACAAATTCAAGCAAAATACGGATGCTATTTTTTAGATCGAATACATTAATAATGCCCGTTATTTTAAAAAATCCCTTATTTCGTTAATTTCCATTATTAGTCTCTCCTTTGCCTTTTTTTTTTTTTTTGTCTGACAATAATGCAATCACTTCATTAATTTGTAAAAGATAAAGTTGTAGATTTATAAATAAGGTCAAGAAAGTAAAGTCACTAAAATAACCATTTCCCCCAAACCAAAGCATCTACAATCTCATTGGCTTATCTAAAAATGTGTTGAAACGAAACATTCATCTAAGAAGTGATATCCACAATTTCCTTCTATTTCTCTCGCATGATCTACATAAATATAGTCACCTTATTGCACCAATTTTTTATATTAAGTGAATCACCCTCCACAATACAAGGCACATTCCTGAATTTTAGTAAAAGAATGCAAAGTCCTTGAAACACCACTTCCATCTCTACAAAATTGGTGGTATTCATACCACAAGGCCCTGCGTAGCATAATACAATGTTCCCATTATACCCTTATGATGCCTCCAAAGCCAGCCTCATTTAGATTTCTAAAAGAACTCCTATCAAAATTTAATTTGAAACTTCAAACTATCGGCCGTATCCACACTCCCATATTACAAACCTTTAAAACTTTTTGTCTAATCAAGTTTGCAAGGTTAACAGAAACATCCACTTCCAAAATACCGAGCCTTTCTTTAGTGATCGGCAACCAACTTCAAATATTATAAATAACTCTTCTAACCACATTCTCACACACTATTTTTCCTTCGAAAATTAGAAGATTTCTCTCTTTCCATTACTCCTACAATACCTATGCCTTAACAATTTCCCAAATTTTCCTACCTACATATGTTAATTGTCCACGTTCCCATAAATTCAACATGTCAGTATGAGAGTTTGGTAATACCATAAAATAACCCAACATTTGTAGCACCCAACTCCAAATGTAATAAGCAAAAAAGCAATGTAGAAAGGAAAAAGGTCACCCTCCACATTCTTTCGCTGCTGCTCTACACATAAAGCACATATTAACTATAATTCTACACGTCTTCATTAAATTATCAATGGTTGGAGCTCTCTAGTGCTTTTTTTTTTTTTAACACGGCCGCGGCCGTGGAACTTACTTAGACTCTTAACGTTGAAATTGACCCTCAAAAATTAATGTCCTTTAAATATCGAGAAATTAGCCGAAACTTTCTGAAATCTTCAAAACAGCGAAATCAGCGCACAAAATCAGGGAATTGTTTCTTTTTCCTTAACCTTTATTCTTAAGGGGCCTCAGCCCGGCAACTGCGTCACCGGTGGGTTCCAGACAGTGTACAGCTGTGAGCGTTGTGTTCAACTCAGGTTAGCGATCACCTCGGTCAGGACACGGTTAACAAGAGAGCCTCTCTCTCTACATTTCTTACTTTCTCTCTCCTCTCTCTTTCTCTTTCTCTCACTAGGTACGATACATCATATTATTCCACACGCTGCAGAGGCCGAGAGGCACAGGGCAAGGAGCAAGAGGGGAAGGGGGGTGGGTTTATGTATAAAGAGGGGAGAGGTTTTGTGTGAAAGCATCGGCCATGGCGGACTCGAGCGACTCGGTTTCACTCGATATCGAGACGATACCGCTCGGTGGGAAGGTGAGATACTCGGAACCCATGTCTCTGTTCCAATGTAGATCCATTCTCTCTCTATCTCTCTCTCTCTCTCTCTCTCTCTCTATCTCTCTTTCTTATATGGGTTTCTCTCTAATGGCTCTGTGGGTGTATTTTTTCAGGAATATATAGTGCAGACTAGCAAGGGTTCAATCTCTGTGTTTGTATGTGGTGACCAAGATAAGCCCCCTCTCATTACATACCCTGACGTTGCTCTCAATTGTGAGTTTCTCTCTCCTCCCTTTCAGTCCTCTGTTTTATTCGTCAGAGGAAAATGAAATGGTTTTGGTTTCCTTTTCCCATTTCATGGCCTTTCTTTCGAGGGACGGAAAATCCCCTGTAATCTCATTTTATGCCAAGAATGGGTTTATTCTTCTTTTACAATCGTGGCTCGGCGGTTCTCAGCCTTTAAATTCAAGCTCACAGGCCTAGTCTTCAAACCAAAGAAATGCATTTCCGATCGCCCCCTTCGGTTCTCTATCATTTGAACATATTGATTTGATTGTTCTCTACATTTGCTGCGGTTAATGCAGCAATTCATTGAAGAAAAATCAGGGCTACGAACTAAGTGATCCATGTGTCTGTCCATTTGGGTCTTTAATTAGTGGTATTTGGGATGAAATCAGGGGAATTTGGTTTTGATTGTTTCCACATTATTTTGCGTTTTGATGTAGTAAGAACATTTTGGGGCTAAGTTTTTTTTTTTTATCATTTGAAATTATGCAGATATGTCTTGTTTTCAAGGGCTCTTCTTCTGTCCTGAAGCTGCTTCCTTATTGCTCCATAACTTCTGCATTTACCATATTGATGCGCCTGGTCACGAGGTCAGCATTCATGGTTGTTTTATCATCAACGTACTTCTATTAAAAAAATGCACGATTATTTCTGGTGAATGCATTAGTAAGTGTTCTATGGTTTTCTTACCCTGATACGCAAGGTTTTGGTTAAGAGTTTTTGCAGTTGGGAGCTGCTGCCATTGATTCTGATATCCCTGTTCCAACTGTTGATGATCTCGCCAACCAGGTTGCCGAAGTGCTTGACTTCTTTGGGTACGTTGCATTCGTCAATTATAACTCTTGGGCATGTCATGATTTTTTTTGTTTTTAACCATTTGGCATGCGATATTTCTTACTATTTGATATTTGGTTATGCTTCTATTCCTTGTAAGACAACATGGTTTCCTCTTTTCTTCTTTTGGCGTCTTTGTTTTTCTACCACTTGTTGCAATGTATCACCATATGTCGCTAGATCCTTGTAGTTCTGATTTTTATGATATTAAATAGGGGGCTTTGTGAACTGTTCACGTATAATTGAATTTAGCAGTTAAATACTTAAATCATATGAATATAGATGCATCTCGCACGTTCTATCTCTTTACTGAGTGGTTAATTCTTTCTTAATTTCTCAGATTTTTCAAACCTGCAGTTAAAGTCTTAATGAGCATATGTTTATATTCAATATTTTCCATTTATTGAAGGCCTTGTTGGTATCAGAGATGTCTTGTAGAATTAATTTTGCAAATTGCAGTATTAGGTACCTAATCTTCTTTCACTCAACGAAAGTTTCCTTTTCTGTAGGCTTAATGGGGTCATCTGCTTGGGTGTCACAGCAGGAGCCTACATCCTTACACTTTTCGCGGTAGGTTCACTTCTCACTTAGTTGATTTGACTGTGTTTTTTCATAAGTGATAGTCATTTTCTGGCTATTATTCTCATCTCCACAATTCTTCATTTTATGGCGCAGATGAAATACAGAGAACGGGTTCTCGGTTTGATATTAGTCTCCCCTCTTTGTAAAGCACCTTCTTGGACAGAATGGTTTTACAATAAGGTCTTTCCCCAACTCTTACATGTAAATGTTTTAGGTTGAGATAAAAAAAATATGATGTCAATTTTTCCCAGATTGATCGATGATGCATTTCAGATTTTTGATCTGCAGGTAATGTCTAATTTGCTTTATTACTATGGTATGTGTGGTGTACTGAAGGAATTCTTGCTCCAGCGATACTTTAGTAAGGTAATTAGTTATGTGTAATACTGTAATCCGTGATTCATCTAGTGGATCTGAAATTTCTATGAATATGTAGATGGGTTAAGTCCCTAATTAAATTTGCATTTTCTCATTATCAGGAAGTTCGGGGTAGCACACAAGGTACAGAATCAGACATAGTCCTAGCATGTCGAAGGGTAAGCCTTTTCACACTACTAGATCAATATGTTTGCCTATCTCTCTCTCTCTCTCTCTCTCTCTCTCTCTCTCTTTCCCCTGTTAGGATTACTGATATAATGGGCTTTCTGTGTGTCATCATCTTTCTTTGATTCCTTGATCAATTAAAGAAAGAAACCGCTGGTTTTTGCGATTGCAAATTAGATTATATGGGTCTTGCATTTGAGATCTGAATCATGTTTTTTATTGTGTTCTCTTGTCGACAGTTACTGGATGAGAGACAAAGTGTGAACGTATCTCGTTTTCTACAAGCTGTCAGTCAGTAAGTTCTATCTCACCATTTGAACTTATCATGGCAACTTGCATTTGATTTAACATAATATAATGGAGAATTCATAAATGGGTCTTCTCTGTTTTAATTTTTAATTTCACCTGTGGTAAGCTAATCAGCAGGCTAGTGCTAGAGAATCTCGTGCTTATTTTGCCCCATATTTCGATGCACATTGATGAACACCATCCTCTGTTTTTTAATCATTAATTTTTTATGCTGTTCTTTGGAATATCTCTTTGAATCATGTTGGTCAAAAGGGTCCAGATCTGTGTGTTCAGAATACAGAGAGAGAGGGTTGGGGGGGATCCTAGGCTACAGGCTTTCTGTCTTATTATCATATAGAGTCCTCATTTTAAATTGAAGAGATACTGTAGAAAGAAGAAAAGAATCTGTAATGGTATTGTTGAGCGCAGTTTAATGTAGTTTTTTCCTCTATATGTATATATATATATACAGGAGATATGACCTCACCGATGGCCTGAAGAAGTTGCACTGCAGGACACTCATTTTTGTAGGGGACAACAGTCCCTTCCATGCTGAGGCCCTCCACATCAATGCCAAAATGGACAGAAAATACAATGCCTTGGTTGAGGTACTTTGAAACCCATCCCATATTTTGTACAATATGGTGAGAGAGAGCGTCCTACGACTAAGCTGAGGCCAAGGGGATGCTGAGAGAGAGATCAAACGTGTAAGCATGGCATATATATATATATATATATATATATATATATATATATATATA